CATAGAAGATTAGGGTTGGAAGAGACCTCGGGAGGTCATCTAGTCCAGCGCCCTGCTCAAAGCAGGACAAACCCCCACTAAAACATCCCAGCCAGAGCTTTGTCAAGCTGGGCCTTAAAAACCTCTAAGGATGGAGATTCCACCACCTCACTAGGTAACCAGTTCCAGTGCTTCACCACCCTCCAAGTGAAATAGTGTTTCCTAATATCCAACCTAGACCTCCCCTACTGCAACTTGAGACCATTGCCCCTTGTTCTGTCATCTGCCACCACTGAGAACAGCCGAGCTCCATCCTCTTTGAACCCCCCTTCAGGTAGTTAAAGGCTGCTATCAAATCCCCCCTCACTCTTCTCTTTTGCAGACTAAATAAGCCCTACCTCAATAATACTACCCTACCTTCCCATTAATGACAGTAGGTTTTGGCACACCATGGCCATGAGGGCCGTATAACCACCCACACAGTGGCTTACACTCTTTCCTGAAGGGAGGGGATAATGACCCTGCTGACTGAGGCATCTTCCAGTATGTACCAGAAAGCGCTTGATCAGCACTCAACGGCCTGGCCTTATTGTCATAGAGTGACCAGCAGGATGGAGAGGGGGCTGCTCCCAGAGGGTTCCAGCTACTCTGAGCATGGTGTGAGTCCAACTTATTGTTAAGGTCTGCTCTGCGGAGGGAGAAGGCTGCCCTTGTGCTTACAGTACTGGCCTGGGATGTAAGAGACCGGGCTTCAACTCCCACCTCTGCCACAGTCTTCCTGCGTCACCTTATCTCGCTCTGGGCCTCAGTTCCCTATCTGGAAATGGGGATAGGAATAACACTTCCCATTCTTTCTCTGTCTGGTGTATTTAGACTGTCAGCTTTGTGGGACAAGGACCGTCACTGCCCGTATGTACAGCACCTAGCGCAACGGGGCCGTGCTCTTGGCTGGTGCTACTATAATCCAAGTAAGAGTGGAAGATCAGAGGTCCCCTTACAGGCATGCCCAGGCCCTTGCAAAGCTGTGAAATTGGTGCCTGCTGGCCATTGTGATCTAGATTTGCTGCCCCTGCAGACAGCCTGTCCAAACTGGGCCTTTGGCGGGGGCGTCCCCAGACTAATTATCACAGGAGACCTCTGGGTTACTTGTAGCAGGCCTGACAGCATCTATAGCCCTGGCTCAGACATACATACAGAACAGAGCTGCAGGAAGGGGGGCGTTATTTATAGCTTCAGCCCTAATGAGGAATCCCGGCGCTCCAGACAAAGAGGGTACAGTCCTGCTCTGAGCCAGACTGCGCATCGCCACCTAGGCACACTGCTGGCTGGCAGGCTGCTCGTGTGGGAAGAAAAGAGGGATTGAAACACTCCGTGGCTGGGCTCTTGGGTTTCTTCCATTTTCCATACGTACAGGAGTTCCGGCAGTCGATGGGGCCCGTGAAACTGAGTCTGTGTGTGGTGCAAGAGCTTGGCATGCAGACTGCTTCAGAGAGCAGCTCTCCTCCTCCTCCCATTCCAGGGGTACCTTGATGGGTAAAATACTAGTCCTACTTCCCGATAAATGGGCTTCCTCCACCCCCACTAAAGGCCATCTTTCCCACTGTATAGCACCATTCCTAGGGAGTCTGATCCCTCTATTTGGCACAATTCCTAGGAGTTCTGTCCCCCAATTTGGCACCATTCCTAGGGGGTCTGTCCCTCCATTTGGCACCATTCCTAGGGGGTTTGTCCTCTAATTTGGCACAATTCCTAGAGGGTCTGCCCCAATTCCTAGGTCTCTCCCACTATGTGGCACTGTTCCTAAGGGGGAATCTCCACTATTGTTCCTGGGGGTACCTTCCTGCAAGTACACACCATTCTGAGGCGGTCTTTCCCTCAATCTACCCGTTCCTAAGGAGTCTCTCTGGGGTTTGTCCCTCAACCTACAGCCCCCTTCCTACAGGGAGCTTTCCACTGTCCAACCCCATTTCTACGGTGGGGTCTGTATCCCTTTCATGTGTAGGATAACACAAGTTTAACTTCTTCATCTGTCAGCATGAATAAACTGGTCCCAGTTCCACTGGCTGCTAGTCTAATTGGGATTGTGCTGCATAGGGCACCTTGCTGGAACAACCAGAGTCAGACAGCATGAGCTTCATCCATTGCCACCTTCTCACCCTGTTAACCAGGTAATAGCCCTCATCTAGAACCGAATGCAGAGCCAGGTAGATGTGCTTGGTGGAGGAGGTGGTGGTTGGGGGTCTGGAGACTAGAGTCTGGCATGAACAGGGCCGGCTCCAGGCACCAGCTTAACAAGCAGGTGCTTGGGGTGGCCAAGGGAGAGGGGCGGCATGTGCGGCAATTTGGGGGCGGCAGGTCCCTCACTCCCTCTAGGAGCGAAGGACCTACCGCCGAACTGCCACCGCCGATCGCGGGTTTTTTTTTTTTTGCTTGGGGCGGCAGAAATGCTGGAGCCGGCCCTGGGCATGAAGGGAAAAGTTCCTAACTGTCAGGGTGGTTAAAAATTGGAATAAACTGCCTAGGGAGGTTGTGGAATCTCCATCTCTGGAGATATTTAAGAGTAGGTTAGATAAATGTCTATCAGGGATGGTCTAGACAGTATTTGGTCCTGCCATGAGGGCAGGGGACTGGACTCGATGACCTCTCGAGGTCCCTTCCAGTCCTAGAGTCTATGAATCTATGAATCTGTCTGTCTAGCTTGTCTCACTCTTCCCTGCCAGGAATTTAACAAGTCACCAAAGGAAAAAAAGAGCATTGTTAATAAGGACAAAAGCTCCCCCAGTAGTAACCAAAGCAGCCCTTGAGGCTCAGACCTGTGCCATCCATGTCGTTGGCGTGTGATTCACATGGCTCCCTGTGTCAGCGTCGTGCCACCGGCATGGCGAGGGGGTTGCATTCCCTCTGCGGTACAGGTATGCAAACAAATAAAAAAATAAAAAAAAGGCAGCACAACCCATGATAAATACAGAAATCGACTTACCAGACTCAGAGTCCCTTTTCCAAAGCCTCAGTGTTCGTCTGCCTGATCTCCTGTGTATTAAAGAGCATGTGTGTATCTCAATTTGCCAGGGTTGGTGCCCGCCCCGCAGTCCTGATCAAATATTGTGCTTGCAGGTCATGGGCACTGCAGGGTTTTTCTTTTGGAGTGACCTCCCAGCGGCAGACAGTTTGCAGACCCGAGTGAAGATACCCTACCACTGCCTGACTTTATAAATAACCTGCTTTTTCTCTCTCCTCTCTCTCACTCTCGTGTCTTTCCTTGCAGAGGCTTTGGCAGTTTCCAGCCTCTCTCTGTTTAACAAGTTAGTGGAATCGTGGGTGTTGTTTGGAACAGACTTTTGCTAGGTCGCCTGCGTTTCTCATCAAACAGAGATGATGAGGCCGCTTTAAAAAACAACACAGGCTTTGGGTGGGGGGAGACGCTGAGGATGAACGGCTTAGAAACAAAGCATCTTTCACGTTTTCACTGCGGGGGGGAGAGATGGCAGAATGGCCCACAGGCTGCATCCCTTGGCTCTGGGTCACCAGCAAACCTTGATATTTTATTATTCTACTATTAAATAGGAATGTATCATAGAAATATTTATTCTAATGAAGCAGCATCCAAGGTACATAAACTACATACCAAAAACCTAATGTCACACTAAGAATTTGTTTTCATCTGCTGCTGAAAGGTGCCAGGTTGACCGTCCTGCTAGCTGGAGTCCTCTGCCAAGCCACATGGGAAGCAACATAGTTTCTTGCTTAGATACTGTGGGGAAGGGTTCTATAGAAATATCGAAGACACATAGCACATAGACTAGGACCTGGGAGTCCTGGATTTCTATCCATCCTTTTATGATCCCCATTACTGTAATATCTGGGCATCTTACCATCTTTAATCTTTATCACATGCCTGTGCAGCAGGGCAGCGCTACTGTCCCCATTTTACAGATGGGGGACCTGAGGCCCAGAGACATTTAGTGCTTGCCTCCACATGAACATTAATCTGGAATAAGATAAACTGTTAATTTAAAGTGGATTCACTGTTCTTGATTAACTCCACATATGGATGCTTTTATTCCAAATCAGCTTAATCCACTTGCAAATTGGAATAACTCCCATGTAGACAAGCCCGAAGGCACTTTCCCAGATTCACACAGCCAAAGGAATTGGACTGGAGTCTTCCAGAGTCACAGGCTGGCATGCTAACTACTGCCCCACCCTTCCTGCCTAGGGGACTCTGCTCCCAGTTCTGCCACAGATAGTCGCTCAACTTATGCAAGTCGCTTTGCGTCTCAGGGCCAGTTTCCTCACCTGTGTTATGAAGCTAATGCTACTGACCCAGCTTTGTAAAGCGCTTTGAGATCTGGGGATAAAATGGGCCTAGACAAGGGCTTAAATATTATTATTTATCCACCACACGGGCCATGGCAATCCAAGCTGCTTCCAGATTCCACATTATTCTCTGCCAACTTGCCTCTGAAGAAGCAAGAGGCCTTTGCAACTCCGGGGCTATCCGCTTTCACCAGCTCTCGACGCACAGGGTATTTTTAAAACTTCAAGACATAATTATTAGTTATTCAAACATTTCCTCCCGCTCCCCTCACAAAAGAAAAACCAATAGATCCTCATCCAGCTGCTAATAACCCCTCAGTACAGCAGCAGTCAGGGCACTGGGGATAGGGTTTCTGAAGGAGCCTGGAGTAAATTAGTTACATTCAACGGGCGATGGATGCCAAACTCCCTTAGGGGGTTGTATTTATGTAGATTCCTTTGAAAATCCCAGCCTAAACTACCACTGCTTTTTGGGATGCTTGCAGTGACCCTAAATAACCCATAACGAATTGCTAGTAGGAGCGCTCATTGTAGCCGGAAAGAACGGGAGGCAGATTCATGGAAGTTATTAGGAAAGGGACTGGTTGTATGGAATCACTGTCCTACAGAGCAGCTGCTATTTATTAGGGAAGGGTGTGGCCGGAGAGATCAAAGGGTCACCCTTTCTGTAGCAATGTGAATGCTGGTCAGAGTAGAGTCCTGCCTGCTACGGCTCTCTCCACGCTGCAGTAAAACACCTGCAGCTGGCCTGAGTTAGCTGACTTGGGCATGCAGAGCCCAGGCTGCGGGGCTATCCAATTTCAGGGTAGGGTATCCTGGCTGGCTCAGGCTGGAGGGCAGAGGATCCCAGAGTTGGACTCCATCCTGAGCCTAAAGGTCTACACAGCAATTAATCAGCCCCATAGCCCGAGCCCCATGAGCCCGAGTGAGCTGACCCGGGCTAGCCACGGATGTTTAATTGCAGTGTACACATATCCTGAAAGAGCAGGCCTGATCTGCATCTACTGTGAGAAGCTGGACTGTATTTTTGGCAGAAATGCCCCCACTGCCTCATGGCATGTTGTCAACTCCACCACAGACAACCCCCTGAAATTCAGGTTCTTGTCAACCCTCTAAACCCCAAGGCTGACCCATTGATGGAGCCCCAGGCTCCCCCTGAATCCCAGGCAGATATTTCAGCTCAGCTATCTGCCTCAACGTAGCCGTGTCCTGAAACCCTCTGCTTCTGAGAACTCTGCAAACTGGGCTACACCCTTCACTTCCCCAGTCCCGTTCCTCAACCTTCCACACCACAAGACAGCGTGGAGAGCAGGAGAATCCCTCAACTCCCACACCCACAAGGGACAGGCCTTTCTCTCTCCCCTGCATCCTACCCCACAAGATGCAGAGAGCATTTCCCCCATGTGTGCAAATTGGTGATCTTGAAAGCACAAACTTGTGCTCCCCCAGCCCTGTGTTTTTTGGCACTGGCTTGTAAGTTTGCTCTGTGTAATGCCTACGCAGTAGTTTTTTTTGCTGTTCATAACACACAACTGGGTGGATGATTTCTTATTACATTGAATGTCATTGGAAATGTCATGAGGTTGTTTAAAAATTTCACGAAAGCCTTGCCCGAAGCAGGATAAAATCCCCACATGAAGCTTGCTACAAGCCGTGCGCCATGCATCACTGGTCCCTGCACACAATCATGAGAAAAGCCTTACACTAAGGTAGCTGCGTTGTCCGCAAGACTGCCCTGGCCTCACAGCAGGAGCATAACGCATCCCTGACCTTGTGTCCTTGACCAGTTGAAGCATTTCATAGAAGCCACCTCTCTGGCTGTTCATAATGTTCAGCTTGTCTATCCATCTCTTCCTTCCACCCGTCATTGAGGTGCTCTCCCTTGTGCTCACTTAGGCTGTGCAAAACACAGCAAACAGCTCTCACACGAGGCAGATAATGTTCAGCAGCCTCCATTCTTGGCAGTAGGTATCTGCATCCTCCCTTCAGTCTCTAAATGTGCACTCCACTGTCATTCTGCAGCTGCTTCTGGCATAGCTAAACAGCTCCTTGCACCTATCCAAGTATCCATAAAAGGCTTCATAAGCTGGGAAGCAGAGGGGTAAACTCAGGGCAAGTTTACATCACACAATTAAGTTGACCTAAATTATGTCGACATACAGCTGCCACAGTCATTAAATGGCTTTTGCATGTCCATACTATGCTCCGTGGGTTGGTGGTGCACGTCCTCACTACTAGTGCTTGCATTGGTGTGGAGAGCAGTGCACCATGGGTAGCTATCCCACTGTGCAACTTGCCACCATGGCTGTCTTGGGAAGGGTTTGCAATGCCTCATGGGAGCAAATGAGTCGCACAGGAGGACCAGGAACATGGTTTCTGTGTCTCATGATGCAGTTTTCTCCATCCCATAATTTTATCTGAATCCAATAATGTTTCATGCCTCTTTTCAAAAGCACCTCCAACCCGCGCATCCGCCATCTCTGTACGCATGGATCCTGCACAGCTGTGCGCTATTGTGATGAGCGTTGCGAGCACAGAGCGCCTGATCCTGCAGTATTTGCAGAGCCACCAGAGGAGCTGCGGGGAACATGGACATTCCTTGGAGGCTAGCTTGCTGTGGGACACAGTAAGAAACCATTCAAGGTTGTCATTGGCATTCACTGAGCAGTTGCAGACATGACACGAGGAACCGAACAGTGCCGAGGTCCATAGTGGTCCTCCAAGCAACAGTTCCATTTGTCACTGCAGGATGAGGTGCAGAGTTTGCAGAGTTTCTAGTGGTCTTGTCATCGTGGACCTTCTCAGACCACCTTACATTAATACCGATGAACCTTCTACGGGGATCAGCCAGACCTTGCAGCACCGTGCAGAGAGACCCCTTATTGTTGATGAATTCTGAGTCCTGGGGTTGAGACAAAAATAAGCATGTGGGTCCCATCACTACCCCGTATACAACTTGAGAACCCCAATCATGCAACTCCAGCAATAAACCCCTGAGCATCTCCAAGCTTTATGACCTAGGGCAACAGCACATTCTGAATAGCACCACTGCACCTCCATGACAATAGCCCCAACAGTTGATCTACCAACACCACACTGGGCAGTTGCTGACCAGTAGCAATCAGGGTGTGGCGAGCTTCCAGATACCACTAACCATGTACCTGGGTCCAGCGCTGCAGCTGTGGGGTGAGCTCAGCACAGATTTTTAAGAAAGTCACCTCTGATATCCTGAAGTTCTGCCGCCACTGCTGGCCTCCCAGGTCTGCATCTCTGTCCTGCCCTCCCATCATGGCTAGTTGGCCACGCCCAGAAACAGCAGCCCACCACGGGAAGCCGCTCCAGGAAAAGTTCATGCAGAAGTGACTGCTTGATTTCAGCCGCCTCCTCTCCAGGTGCCTGTATTGCACTGCCCCAGAAACCCTTGCCCAATTTGAGATACATGGGAAGCAACCTGTTTGTCAGGATCACAGCACTCAGCAGTGTTTCCACTGCGCTGTGTGACAGTGAAATGCCAGAAGAATCATGGGATGCAGTGAGAGGAACTAATTAGTTGGGAATTAATTCGTTTGACCCAAGTTCCAGAATCCCAGTGCCTTGGGGTAGCTATCCCACAAAGCACAGTGGGGGAAAAAATACCAGACTGCATAGAGCCTAGTGGAGGAGTATTGCACCAGGGGATGTCTGCCCTGAATGCTGAGGGCTTATTTGGAGCAATGTAGTGGTGTGTGGGCATGATGATCCCAAAGAGAAGTACATTAACCTGGGGTGATGCGGTGTGGATATGCCACTCGCATAACAGTTGTTCAGGATGACTTAACGCAGATTGACATAACCCCAAACAACTTTCAAGCATGGACATATGCTTAGGTACATACAAGACTCCTCATTCCGATAGGATCTGAGCACCGCAATCTTTAATATATTTATCCTCAGAACACATTTGTGAGTTGGGTAAATGCTA